CCCATTGCTTGTTTTTGTCAGGTTTGTTGAAGATCAGATGATTGTAGATGTGTGGCATTATTTCTGAGGCCTCTGTTCTGTTTCCTTGGTCTATATATCTGGTTTTGTGTTACTGCATGTAACCATGCTGTTTTGGTTACTGCAGCCTTGTAGTATAGTTTGAAGTCAGGTAGTGTGATGCCTCCAGGTTGTTCTTTTTGCTTCGGATTATCTTGGCTGTATGGGCTGTTTTTTGGTTACATGAAATTTAAAGTAGTTTTTTCTAATTCTGTGAAGAAAGTCAATAGTAGCTTGATGGGGATAGCATTAAAGACTTAAACATAAAACCTAAAACTATAAAAACTCTGGAAGAACACCTAGGCAATACTATTCAGGACATAGGCATGGGCAAAGACTTCATGACTAAAACACCAAAAGCAATGGCAACAAAAGCCAAGATTGACAAATGGAATCTAATTAAACTAAAGAGCTTCTGCACAGCAAAAGAAACTATCATCAGCGTGAACAGGCAACCTACAGAATGGGAGAAAATTTTTGCAATTTATCCATCTGACAAAGGGTTAATATCCAGAATCTACAAAGAACTTAAACAAATTTACAAGAAAAAAAACCCATCAAAAAGTGGAGGAAGGATATGAACAGACATGTATGTTGATGGAGTCAACAAACATATGAAAAAAAGCTCATCATCACTGGTCATTAGAGAAATGCAAATCAAAACCACAATGACATACCATCTCACACCAGTTACAGTGGTGATCATTAAAAAGTCAGGAAACAACAGATGCTGGAGAGGATGTGGAGAAATAGGAATGCTTTTACACTGTTGGTGAAAGTGTAAATTAGTTTAACCATTGTGGAAGGCAGTGTGGTGATTCTTCAAGGATTTAGAACTAGAAATACCATTTGACCCAGCAATCCCATTACTGGGTAGATACCCAAAGGATTATAAATCGTTCTACAATAAAAACACATGCACACGTATGTTTATTGTGGTACTGTTCACAATAACAAAGACTTGGAACTAACCCAAATGCCCATGAATGATAGACTGGATAAAGAAAATGTGGCATATATACACCATGGAATACTATGCAACCATAAAAAAGGATGAGTTCATGTCCTTTGCAGGGATATGGATGAAGCTGGAAACCATCGTCAGCAAACTAACACAGGAACAGAAAACCAAACACATGTTCTCACTCATAAGTGGGATAAGTTCACTCACTGAACAATGAGAACACATAGATACAGGGAGGCAAACATCGCACACCAAGCCTATTGTGGGGTAGGGGGCTAGGGGAGGGATAGCATTAGGAGAAATACCTAATGTAGATGATGGATTGATGGGTGCAGCACACCACCATGGCACATGTATACTTATGTAACAAACCTGCATGTTCTGTACATGTATCCCAGAACTTAAAGTATAGTTTCAAAAAAAGAAAATGGTGAGATTAGAACAGAAAGACAATAGCTTAAACAACAGCATAAAACAGTGCAAATCTTTTCTCTCAGCTACTTTGAAATATGCAATAAATTATTGTTAACTATAATTTTCCTACTGAATTATCAAGGACTAGAACTTATTTCTCCTATCTACCTGTATTTTGTACTCCTTAAACGACTTCTCTTCACTCCACTCCCCCTTGACTTCCCAGCCTTGGCAATCACCATTCACCCCTCTGCCTACATGGGATTTACATTTTGGTTCCTACATATGAGTGAGAACAAGCAATATTTGAAACCAGGTGCCTGGTTTCTTTCACTTAACATAATGTCCTCCAGTCCCTCCCATGTTTCTGCAAATGATAGGATTTCATTGTTTATAATGGCACAATAATATTCCATTTTCTATGTACCACATTATCGTTATTTTAAAAATTTTAAAGTAAATTTCAAATGAAAAAGAATTAGTCTCTGAATGTGAAGTTTCAGGGATACCGTTACCATGTTTGTATGTATGCACAAGAGTCAAATATCATTAAAATCTGTAAGGGTACAAATCTACACTTTCAGCAAATGTAACATGAAAATTCTAAGTAGTAAAAATTCTAAGTAGAAAAAAAGGAGATAATTTATATAGTGTTGAAGAACAATGCATTCAAAGAAAATATTCGAGGAATACCACTTGACCTGGTGCTACCAGAAGCTCTTATATTAACTACCAATTAGAGTGTGATCCCATTAGACCCTCCACCAACCGAATCATCTTTGGTGCTTTAAAAAATTCTCATACCCAGAGAAGTCCAAGGAAATCAGAATTTCTGGTAATGTGACCCAGTCAGCCTTTGTAAGCTCCCCAGGTCATTTCAACGAAAGTCAAGTTTGAGAACCACTGGTAGGGATCCTCACACACAACCTGCCTAAAGAGATTCCATAGATGCTATTCGTAAATTACAGATGAATTGTGGAAGGAGATGGAAATTTGAAATATAGTAAGTCTTCCCTTAACCACTTGACAGGTTCTTGGAAACTCTGATTTTAAGAAAAATTATGCATAACAAACCAATCTTTTTCTTCACCAATATTATAACTAAATAATATTGAACGAAACGACATTAATCAAGGACCTGCTGCACATTGTATCCTTCATGTCACAGTTTCCAAGAACCTCTCCACGATGTGAAGTGAGGACTTCCTCTGTATAAAAAGAGAGTTGTGATTTTAGATGGATACCAGCGTCATTCCTCAGAAACTAAAGGAGGCCGTCCAGGTGTATTGGATTCAGTCATGATGTTTGTGATGAACAAAGGATACCAGAATATTCACTTATTCCAATTAAAGATATAACAAAGAAAGCACTATTCACATAGGAAATGTGGGCAGGGGCCATGATTTGCAGGTTCAGATAATTAATGTTGCTGCCTTTTCTAACTCACACAAGAAAAACAATAGGATGGATAATGAGACTAGACTGTCCTGTTTTGCAGCTTCCACAGGGCCTTTTTAATGTCCCCGTTTCTCAAGCTGTAGATGAAGGGGTTCAGCATGGGGGTGACTACAGTGTACATCACTGAGGCCACCGCACCCTTCCTGGGAGAAGGTGACACAGCTGAACTGAGGTACACGCCAAGGCCTGTTCCATAAAATAAGCAAACAACTGTCAGGTGAGAGCCACAGGTGGAGAAGACTTTGTATCTCCCAGCTAATGATGCAACTCTCAAAATGGAGGAAATAATTTTATAATAGGAGTAGAGGACCCCAGAAATAGGAAGAAACCCAAATATGGAAGCACCGAAATACATGACTATGTTATTGAGGAAGGTGTCAGAACAGGCAAGGCTGAGGAGTTGAGAAGGGTCACAGAAGAAAGAAGAGATGTCCACATCCTTGAAGCAGGTGAATTGTAACACAGTGAAATTGTGCAGCTGGGATTCCACCAGGCTAAGAAGAAAAGACACCAAAACTGAGAAGCCACAGAGGCGTGGGTTCATGATAACTGGGTAGTGCAGGGGGTGACAGATGGCTACGAACCGGTCATAAGCCATCACAGCCAGAAGCATGTCTTCCATGCATCCAAAAAGGGTAAAAAGAGACATCTGTGTCAGGCAGCCCACATAGGCGATGACGCTGCTGTGAGTTTGGATGTCCACAATTGTCTTGGGGATGGTGGTGGAGGTGAAACCGATGTCAGCCAAGGACAGGTTGGAGAGGAAGAAGTACATGGGGGTGTGGAGGTGGGAGTCAGAGCCGACGGCCAGGATGATGAGCAGGTTCCCCAGCACCGTGACCAGGTACATGGACAGGAACAGCCCAGCGAGGACAGGCTGCAGTTCAGGATCATCTGAGAGTTCCAGGAGGAGGAATTCTGAGACACCTGTTAGATTTTGTGGTTCTGTGTAGCTTGGAAACCTTTTAATAAGAAAAGGGAGGTGGAAAATGTGAAACAAGTAAACCAGCATGCAGCACTGTGTCTATACTTTAGATATAAACAATTCACAAGTACAGTTTTCACATCTGAAGATCATACACCCTCAGCCATGACAAATCCAATTTTCTAAGAACTCTTTCCTGGTTGATTTTTGTGCTATTCAATACTTTGTGTATGTACGTACTTTTGAGACAATGGGTGAAGAACATTAGAAGAATAAATATAAGAATGTAGTATATTTTTTAAAATTCATGAATACAGTAAAATATAGACTGTCCTTTAAAAACATCTAAATAAAAAAATATTCTCCTCCCTTGGAGAAAAGAATCTTAAGCTAATTAAAGGAAGTTAAGGAACCATGAAATATATTTTATTTTATTCCAATACAGTGCTACACATTCTACCAATTTAGAATATTTATAAACAGTCTATAAGAGTTAGGGCCACATTATCTAGAAACTAAATCAAACTTGATAGTTCATAATTGTAAAATATTTTCTGTGTCTGTTTTCTTTCAGAGTTTTTATTATTCGAACAATTTTTTGACATTCTTTCTTCAAGGAAGTAAGTGTTCAATCAACCCACAGCCAATATCATACTGAATGGGCAAAAACTGGAAGCATTTCCTTTGAAAACAGGCACAAGGATGCCCTCTCTCACCACTCTTATTCAACATGGTATTGGAAATTCTGGCCAGGGCAATTAGGCAAGAGAAAGAAATAAAGGGTATTCAAATAGGAAAAGAGAAAGTCAAATTGTCTCTGTTTGCAGATGGTGTGATTGTATGTTTAGAAAACCCCATCGTCTTAGCCCAAAATCCCCTTAAACTGATAAGCAACTTCAGCAAAGTCTCGGGATCCAAAATCAATGTGCAAAAATCGCACGCGTTCCTGTACACCAGTAAGAGACAATCAGACAGCCAAATCATGGGTGAACTCCCGTTCACAATTGCCACGAAGAGAATAAAATACCTAGGAACACAGCTGACAAGGGACGTGAAGGACCTCTTCATGGAGAACTTCAAACCACTGCTCAAGGAAATAAGACAGGACATAAACAAATGGAAAAACATTCCATGCGCATGGATAGGAAGAATCAATATTGTCAAATAGATAGGCTTGCATTTATTTATTTATTATTGAGATGGAGTTTTGCTCTTGTTGCCCAGGCTGGAGTGCAACGGCACGATCTCAGCTCACTGCAACCTCCGCCTCCTAGGTTCAAGCGATTCTCCTGCCTCAGCCTCTGGAGTAGCTGGGATTACAGGCATGTGCCACCACGCCCGGCTAATTGTTATGTATTTTTAGCAGAGACGGGGTTTCTCCATGTTGGTCAGGCTGGTCACGAACTCCTGACCTCAGGTGATCCACCCGCCTCAGCCTCCCAAAGTGCTGGGATTACAGGCGTGAACCACCGCACCCGGCCTAGGCTTTCTTTTAAAATCCATTAAATATAAAACTCCTGTCTTTGGCTTATGCGGACATTGCATTTTGGTAAGAAAGGTTTAGCTAAATGCACCTAATCAGAGGCCTACAGCAGCTGCACAGATGGTAACACTGCCATGCACTTGTCAGTGATTAAACAATAATGGAATGTTAATAAGCCTTTTGCATTATCTTCTCTGAGCCTGAAAGAATGTGAAACTAAAATGTGTCTAAGCCCAGGCAAAAATGTTCATCTGTCTTCTTCTCTTTCTGCCTTTATCCTTTTGTTGTACCTAAAAAAATCTCTGACATGGCCTTTAAAAAATTGAATGTTGTAGATGTTATTAAATGGAATTATAAGGATCAAACAAGGGCTATTTTGCCTTGTCTCGAGTTCTATGGCACGTTCCTGAAAGAGATGAAAGAACAGACAGGAAAACATCATGTGTGTTGAAGCCACACTGATTATGGTCAATTTTTGTGAATCAAGGAAGGCTCTATTCAATATTTTTCTGCAATTTTTACTGTAGATGCCTCCACTGTGCCAAGCGAGATATAGGCTCTGGCGAATCAGAAATGAAAGGGGCTGACAGTCCTTCCTCTCACAGCACTCAGTATTTACTTATATGAGGACAAATATTGTCCTGTCAGGATATAGGGAAACTTAACTCAGGTCACACAATATTTTAATTGAATGGTGTAGAGATTAACCTTACAATGCTAATGACAGTATCTAAAAGCCTCTTTGCCTTTATGCGTCCATCACATAGAGATCATGCAGGAGCACCCATGATCTGTTTAATTATTGCTCACTGACATTGGATCAACCAGAAAGCAGCTCAGATGACAGTGCTGAGTCTCAGAGACATGCACGTCTCGCCCCTCATCACACAGATCAGCAGAACAGGCACAATTTAGCATTAAACGGTTGGTCTCTGTTTCCCAGGCATCAAAATTCCACATTGTCTTCCAGCTATCGGGAAGTTTTAAGCAGAGGTCAGAGGTCTTAACCACAGGTATACCTCAGGTGCATTTTGAAACTCTTTCCAGCTCCCTGAATAGGAGGGGAGTCTAAGACCCTGATTTGATGTCTCCTCTAAGGAAGTGGAGAGCTGAAAGCAAAGCCAGGAACAGGAGTAAGGGAGGGATGCGCCCTGAGTTTTTGTGTTCTATTTCTGTGATCTTTCATGTGATCCCAGCTGCACTTCCTTTTTCTTTTCTTTCTTTCTTTTTTTTTTTTTTTAAGAGATGGGCTTTTGCTCTGTCACCCAGGCTGGAGTTCCGTGGTGCAGTCCTTCGGCTGCAGTGAACATGGCATTCACTGGTCTGACCGAGGTCTACTAGAAACTCCGGAAGTGGAGAGTACAATTAGCAGAAGGCAGCTGCAAGAAATGACAGGCATTTGAGAGGACGGTTTGGGTGCACCAGAGAGGAATGCCCAAATTCCATGTGCCTGGACTTTAGACCTCCTGGTTCAATCTTGGCTTCACTCCTTTCTACTTCATGATATGGTACAAGTTATATAAAAATGCATTGCTCTTTTCCTCTTTTGTAAAATAATAATAATGTGTGCACTTATAACATAGAGAAGACCATGCAGATGAAATGAAATAAGCTACATAGAACACAGAGCTCAAAACTCGGCATTTAGGAAGCCCTGTGTAAGAGTTCATGATGTCATGGTGACTGCCATCTTCCTCCTCATCCTCATCATCACCTTCATAATCCTTCCAGAGTGCTTAGGGAACAGTTTCCAGGTACCCATTTTCTCCTGTCTTCAGTGAGATGTTTATAGCTAGTAGAATCAGTTTAGAGAGAAAGTAAAACTTCGAATGACATTTCTGACACCAATCACAACCCAGAACATAAACTCCACAGTCGTCTGAGCTGATATTTTGCACATTGGTGTCCTCCCATCTGCCATCCCACTGTCCCGTTTGTCCTGAGGATCAGGAAACAAGGCTCCCGATTGTCCCTCAGCACTCACTGAGCTGCGCTTCCCCTCTGCTGGGCCATGACCACGGAGAGCAGGTCCGCTGTCCTCCCTGCGTGGTGCGTGATGGAGGCTCAGGCTCCGTCCTCAGGACTGGCAGGAAGACAGGGTCAGACATGAGCCTCCTGATGCAGATGACAGATGTGGAGCCCACTGGACTGGAAGCTCACACTGCAGGGCTGGAGGCACAGGCTGAGTATTTACTATGCTATGGCCATGGGGGCTCAAGGCACAGAGCTCCTCATTAGCCAAATTGGCCCAAGTTCCCCAGTCTCTAAGGTCTTCCTCACAGTCATGGATGAAGAAGAGAAAATGAATGTCCACAGAAGCATTTGGGCTCTTCCTCTACTCAGGAGAAATCCGTGTGTATAGTTCATTTCATTTCTTTTTCTTCCAAGGATCCATCTTTTTTAATTTCTGTATTTTTATTGTGGTAAAATATACTGCACTTAAATACGAAAGTTATAAATATAAGTGGTTTTATATAAAACGGGAAATATGAAAATCTTTTCATTGTAACCACTTTTAAATGTAGTTCATTGGCCTTATGCACATTCATATTGTTGTTCAACCTCCACCATCATCCCTCTCCTGAACTTCTTTGCCTTCCAGAAGAGGTGCTCAGTGCCCACGGACAAACCACCCATCTCTTCATTTCGCCAACCCCTAGCAACCACCATTCTACTTTCTGTCTCTATGAATTTAAGTATGCAAGATACTTGTAACGAATGGAATCATACTGTGTTTGTCTTTTGTGACTGGTTTGTTTCACTAAGCATAATGTTTCTAGGTTCATCCATGTTGTAGCACATGTTAGAATTGTCTTCCTTTATAAGGCTTAATAAAAGTTCATTTTGGCCAGGCACAGTGGCTCACGCCTGTAATCCCAGCACTTTAGGAGGCTGAGGCAGGCGGATCACAAGGTCAGGAGATCAAGACCATCCTGGCTAACACAGTGAAACCTCGTCTCTACTAAAAACACACAAAATTAGCTGGGTGTAGTGGCGGATGCCTATAGTCCCAGCTAGTTGGGAGGCTGAGGCAGGAGAATGGTATGAACCCGGGAGGCAGAGCTTGTAGTGAGCCAAGATCATGCCACTGCAACTCCAGCCTGGGCCACAGAGCGAGATTCCTTTTTTTTT